GCCTGGAACTGAAAATATGGATGGAGGACCTCAGTGATGAGAGAACGTGTAGCACCGAGCTAACACATATATATGGTGATAGCATCGGGGCTAACGCTAAATGGCTCAGTCTGTACTAAAATACATCTTTAAAATTTTGTTTAAAAATGATAAAAACTAAACAGCCTACAGTATTTTTACAGTCTTTATTTTACAGTTAAAATAAATGTTTATAAAGTCTAATGAGAGTCCAAACAAACATCAGGTCAGAACCAGCTGATGGAGGCAGATTCAGGTTTTTAATTTAAACCCAAACTGACCCAGTTCTGGTGTTGATCTCTGTAAAGCTAATTATAGTTCAGGTTTAATTGTATCAGTGTTTGAATGTGTTGTAGTTGTTTTATTACAAACAGATTTAACTTGTTGGTTGGGAGCTTGCAGCAGCCCCGCAGGCGGCAGATGGTGCCGTAATAAAAACCCACTGGTGTTGGAACAGAACCGTGTGACCCTGATTAGCTGAACGACACCGAGTCGTTTGGAAACCAACAAGCTGTCAGGAGCAGAGAGGGAGAATGGTTTCAGATTTGTGCTGGAACCGATCGAAGCAGAACAGACGAGAGCCTGTCGTCACGAAGAAACGACTTCTGGGCCCTGCGGAGCGAGGAGGCGACGATCGGATCTGAAGCGTCAAATCAAGTGTCCCTGTTTAACAGCAGAGCCACGGGCCCGGCTCAGAACTGAGACGGAACCACCAGGAAGAGCTCAGGGTTCAGTTTATTCTTCATTAAATCTGACACAGACTGTAAAACTCCTTCAGACCCCAGGTTTTATGGCTCGGAACAGATTCTGGTCCTGCAGGGTCTAACAGGTCCAGCATCAGGATGGTTTCTCTTTTTTTGTCTTTAAACCTAAAAGAGATGTGATGTTTTGTCCCTGCTGCTCTCTGTCTCCTCCTCAGGCCTCTCCAGCTGCTCTGGCCAAGAGTGTTTTAGCAGAAGTGCCCAACCAGGTGGTTGACTACTACAACAGCAGGGGCATCAAGCCCAAAGTGCCCAGTGAATACCAGTCTTCCAGGCCCTTCGGCCCCTGAGCCTCAGAGCCACGCGGGAAATTAATCTTTACTGTTTCTTGTTTTGTTCCTGATGCAAACACTGAAGGTGCTCCTCCCACTTTTACCATGAAACCACACGAACCTGTAGATGGTCTTCATCCTCCACCCAGACCAGCCAGGTCCTCCTGGAACACAGGACCCTGCAGGTGTCTGAGCTGGTGTCCTGATCTGAGCCGGCGTCTGCACCATCCTGGGTCCAAACAGCTCAGCCTCAGTGGGAACATCCTGGTCCTTTATTCACAGGGGCGGAGCCACCCCCAGGTGACTGACAGCTCAGCATCAATTAGCATCTAAAATAAGTTAAAACATTAACTGGATACAGTCGGAGCGTCCTGTCAGCGCAGTGACACACCACAGTCCTCATCGATACGTCTAAAAACAGATGAGTTGTAATATATAAAATTAGCTTTAAGATAACATAAAACTTTATTGATCCCACAGTGGGGAAATTTACACATTACAGCAGCTCAAAAACAGGAGAGGGTGAGATAGAAAAGAGAAAGATAAGTAAAAAAAAACACTACTCATGATATATAACAATGTACAAATACCTAGTACAGTACATAAATCAATTCAATTCAATCTAATTCAATTCAAAAATACTTTATTGATCCCAGAGGCAAATTAGGTAGCCATAGAATGGTGGCCATCTTGGATTTTATAGATTGTTCTTGGCTAATGCTACACATATTTTCAGCTGTTTGTTTAAAATATCTAAATTAGAGCCCGTTGTAAAATTAGCATTAATTGGGGTTAGCAATCAGCATGGTTCAGTGATTTAGTGACACCCCAACAAGGTTAGGCCCAAAAATATGGGCTGCCGTTTGTAAAGTTACACAGTCAAAAATTACCTCCAATATTTTTGTCTTATTTAGACTTTTATAAGAAAAAAGAACAGATTTATTTTTCAAAGTCAGTTTTTCACCA